GTTATTTTTTACACACATCAAATAACTGTAATAAAATGCATTCGCTGGTATGTTTAACAGATTAAAAGAAAGCTAATAAGATAGGCTACTTGTTATGATATATATACACTTTACCTATGCATTCCCTATTTATTTAGGAGTTAAAATTTTCATGGGCAGAAGTTTAGAGCAGAGTAAAAGTAAACACAGGGCATTTTACAATTGGAATTTCCAAATACTATCCAAACTCCATTTTTATTAGGGGTTAATTTAAAAATAGAGACCTAAATTTCTATCACACACATTTTTTGCTTCCATAAAAAAATTACAGAGTGCACCATATCTATTGGAAATCTGTTTAATGGGTAAATAACATTTTATAAAAAAAAAAAGTGATGTCTGTCTTTTTTATTTACTCATACCCAGGCTAAGACCAGATTGTCATCTTCAAACAATCTTTTTTCACAATGTTTATCTCCATGTTCTATCATATTACTGTGGATCTGTTTGTCCAATCACCTGCTCAGGTACATCTTAAAATCTCTCCTGAAACATTTTGAATTGCTTTATTATTACTTACAACCAATTTTATGATAACAGTTCACTGCTTTAGATTGAATTAAAAGAATAAAGCTATGAAGAAAATTAGTATGACTAGTTGGAGTTTTGCCTTTGTGACATTGTGTTTTGTTGATCTTGGCCAGCAATCAAAGCTATCCCTGTGAGAATCTCAAACCATTTTTTTTGCTATGAAGCCTATTATAAAAGGCAATAGCTGTAAGTCATATGTTCAATTTCCCTCAGCTCAAATCTTTTTTATTAGTCTGTGCCCATTTTTAATATAGCTCTAAAGATATTAATTGAAACTAGACTGGTGTTTCACTTGGTTGCACTTACAGTAGGCAAGGTCTTGTTATTATGGATGTTGTTGTGGATCTCCAGAGAGTCTACACCTTCTGCCACACAGCAGAACCTGCATCTAATATTCTATTTTATAATCATTAACTAGCAACATGTGGTACAAGTATGCAACATGCACTCCAACAGTTCACAACTTATTCATGTTTCATTTGTCTTCATAATAAAGAAGCGCTTCAGGTTTCATGCCAAAGGCTGTCTGAGAGCTTTCACTTTGTTAATATTATCCAGAGGTCTATAGCATAAAAAAGAGTTCACACATTATGCCAAGTTGGCATTATTTCTAGAAAACAAGCTCAAAAAGTACAGGCAAATAATTATCTGTAACAGTTGTATAACTTGAGCACAATGTACTTTATTTTACTCTATGAAAAAAATTTAATCTTATCATATGTTATACATCCATACACCTACTGTCTATCATCAATTGCAATAATACATAACTACATGCACCATATAAATGAAATAAAACAACAAATGTTGAATCACATTAGTATAAAAATCAAAAACACAATAACAAATCTCCAAATGTGAACAAAGAAAATCAATAACTTGCAGGCAATATATTGAAAACAAATGAGAGTGTACATAAATTACATCTTCTCATATCCTTGTGCAATATGTGAAGTCATAAATATACATTGGTGCCAAAATTACCTTCCTCAGTGGGCACACACTCACCTTCTTAGATAAACCTTTTTATCAAAAGTTATGCAGAGCATGCACCTTTTAAAGCCAAGGCAGGGTTGACTCCTAAGGCAAATTCAGATGCTCTAGGTGTGGAGATCTCCTAGCACAATAACAAAAAGATAAAAGGAAGACAATAGAACTCTCCATAACATCCTGTAGTGAAGAACAAAAACAAAAGAGCACCAACCTTGCGCATTACCTCAGTAAGCAAATAGTAAATTTATTGAATTAAGAAGTATACTCACAAAAGTGACAATATACAGTATAAGGCATATAAAGTCCAAAATCGAAGCACTGGAATAGGAGAGACATGCAAATCCCATTGAGAGGGTAGACTCTCAGGGTAAAGCTGATGCGTTTCGAAGGGGAATCCCTTCCTCAGGGCTAACCAGACTCAGAGTACCCTCCTCTATATATAGCACAGATCTATGTGTGAGCCTTCCCATATGGACGGGACATTCACAACATGGGAGGTAGGGCCACCGTGTCAAAACACAAATGCAGATAAAAACATGCTAAAAAGACAATACAGCTGTGTATGTATAAGTAAGCAATAAATAAGCAATAAATGTCATTAAATATATAAATATAAGTAAAAATATATATATATATATAAAAAATAAATTATATAAAACATATAATGCCCAGTACTTGGTTGCCATAAAATATTGATGTTGATCACTAAAATGAATAATAATAAATTCATTTTAGTGATCTGAGACTATTGGAAAATGGCCACTATAGTGTCAAAAATGGCCGACGATTGAGTTGGGTTTTTTTGTACACTATATAAGGTTTCCCCCTCTGCTTTTTGCCATACCTCTGATGAAGTCACGAGGGCGTGATGTAACGCCTAAGTGTGTGGCCTTAGGCAGATGTGAAACCGGAAGTGATGAATGCGGAAGTGCATCCTGGATCTGATGACTCCAAACTATTTTCAATGTTTGTTATTCTCTATGTACATGTGAGTGCATTACTTTTAATAAAGCCTATTTGTTAGTACATACTAGACCATCAGAGTTTCCTCTATTACCTCTGTACAAGGGTGGGAGTTTTTCACCTCAAACCACCCTTAAAGGGACTGTTCTTTTCTTTGGCTCAGGGATTAATGAAAAGAAAAGAGGGTATCCAGCAGCTCTTATATGGTGGATGATCGGGAGAGTTGAAGAACCTATGTCTACTTATTATACAGCGCAATTTAATTGCTTTAAGGTGAGAGTTCTGGGAGCACTGAGGTGGCACAACCTGCATGATTTTACAGCACTTCAACAGATGGTGTTGGTTATATGAGCACATGAAGAAGTATAAGAAGTTGTGAAGAATTTTGATATTGAATTTTCTATTGTGATGTTCATATTCCACATGGACTTGTTTATATGGACACTTTATTGTTATAATTTATGCATGCTATATTTATACTTATTTTCATTGATGTTTTGATATGTGTGTTTCACATTAGCAGCGCAACATTGAGTTTGTTTATTTGTATGAATAACAATTAACATACACATATGTGGTTTCACTGGGATCATCGAAGCAGAAAAAATTGTTTTGGGTTGTTCTTTGTTGGTGTGTTATGGTAATGAAAATAAATATATAACTGATTTTACAAAAATGTTTTTTTTTTAATATTTTTGGACAGTTTCTTTGGATAATAAAACAAAAACAAAAAAAATCAGGAAATATCCATTAACATTTACCACCAAATGAAAGCTCAATTTGTCCAGAAAAAAACAAGGTATAATTCACCTGGATACACAAAGTCTTTGCTATATGTGGACAATACTGAAGCTAACAAAAGAAAACAAATACATAGGAGAGATTTACTAAAACTGGAGTGTGCAAAATCTAGTGCAACTCTGCATAGAAACCAATCAGCTTCCAGGTTTTACTGTCAAAGCTTAATTGAACAAGATGAAGTTAGAAGCTGATTGGCAAATATGCACCCCTGCACCAGATTCTGAGTATTCCAGTTTTATTAAATCTCCCCCTTTGTCTTGTCAACTTTACTGGGGCTTGTATAGGTTTATTCTTATCTACGTTTTGAATTCTAGTAATGGGTTACTTAGGGGGAGACTAAAACTGGTGTACTCAGAGTCTAGAGCAGGGGTGAATGGTAGCCAATCAGCTTTTAACTTTAGCTTGTTCAATTAAGCTTTGGAAATAAAACCTTCAAGCTGATTGGTCTCTGTGCAGAACTGCACCAGATTTTGCAAGCACCAGTTTTAGTAAATAACCCCCCTAGCTCCCAACAGTCAAGGGTTAAATCTTTCTTTATTGGAGCACCCCTTGCACCCTTTACAGGAAATCTAGAGTACATGGTTTCTTGAAATCTAAAACTATGATTTTAATAAAACCCTCTTAATAGAAACTTTGCACATTAAGACACAAAAGCAGGGCTCTAACCATTGGTAGACTGCAGCATCAACATCCATACAGCTTTGCTACAATGCCAGATCAATTAACTCGATGCTAAATACATAACAGAGTAAAAGCACATTAAAGTTCCAGGGTAGGAGGCTGTCAAATGACTTTTGCCACATTAATTTTCACTTGCTCTTTATTGGTGGTATGTGCAGTTGAATATCCATTCTAGTTATAAAGTATATATACTACTGCCAGGGCTGTCTTTAATATTGATTGGATCCTGGGCAAAGATTTTCTCGTGACCCCCCCCCCCCCCACTTTGACGCATACAACAAATAGCAGGCAGACTCAAAGTCAGTTTACTATAGCATATCACGCAGCAATTTCAGGTTACAGCACACATTACAGCTCACTGATTAATTGCTAGAGGTTACTGCACATCATTACCGCTCACCGATTGGTTGCTAGAGGTTACTGCGTATCATTACCACTCACGATTGGTTGCTAGAGGTTACTGTACATCATCACTGGCTAACTGATTGGATTCTAGAGGTTGCTGCATATCATTTCTGCTCACTGACTGGTTAATAGATGTTACAGCAGATCCCTACTGTTCACTGATTGGTTGCTAGAGGTTACTGCACATCATTACTGCTCACTGAGGGCAATCAAATAATTGAGCAAGTAAAGTGGCACATTAATAGACATACTACAGGAGAGGGTCAGAGACTACAGATGTACTACAAGAGATAACCAGAGACGGCAGATGTACTACAGGAGACAACCAAAGACTGTGGATGTACTACAGGAGATGACTAGAGACTGCAGATGTACCACAGGAGATAACCAGAGACTGCAGATGTACTACAGGAGATGACCAGAGACTACGGATGTACTACAGGAAATGACCATAGACAGTGGATGCACTACAGAAGATAACCAGAGACTGTGGAGGTACTACAGGAGATGACCAAAGACTGCAAAGACTGCGGATGTACAATGCACTACAGGAGATGACCAGAGAGTGCAGATGTACTACAGGAGATGGTCAGAGACTGCAGACATACTACAGGAGATGGTCAGAGACTGCAGGTGTGCTACAGGAGATGGTCAGAGACTGCAGATGTGCGATGTACTACAGGAGATGACCAGAGAGTGCAGATGTACTACAGGAGATGGTCAGAGACTGCAGACCTACTACAGGAGATGGTCAGAGACTGCAGATGTGCTACAGGAGATGACCAGAGACTGCACATGTACTACAGGAGATGACCAAAAACCTTTCAGCAATGCCCAGCTTTACAGCTGGTGAACAACAACAGCTCAGGATTTAAGATAACAGTCCATAGGCAGTCTACAGGGGAAGCACCTACCTGGCCAGGCAGACGCACCATCCACTCTCAGAGGTCCGGGGGCAGAGCTCCCACACAGATATCAGCTCCTACTCCACAGCCGCTCTCCTGAGCATACAGGCTGCATGGGGTGGGGTGAGAATGTCAGTAGACCTTCTGGCCCCATTCCCTCCCTACTGGCTGGAGAATACAGCACTGTCTCTGGTGTAACTGATGCGGTGCACTCTGCATTGCAATCATTGGGGACCCAATTTACAGGCAGCATGGACCCAAGGGGCAACTGCTTTGGGTCCCACAACAATGACTGGGCCCAAGGCAGCTGCCTCTTTTGCCCCATGTTAAAGACGGGCCTGACTACTGCCTTCTATAGCACATATTAATAATGAGATGACAAAAGTGGTGGGCACTGGTTTAGTACCAAAAGGTATCACTGATTGCTGTGTTTAGTGTGGCTTGATGTATTAAAGTCTTCCTGGCTAGTTATCATCCAAAAATAACTGGTTATCATCCTGAAAAAAAACATTGTTTCATGCATAGCATGAATCTTAAAGTGAACCTGTGCTTTGCCACCTTTCCTTTATTACTCCACTGCCCTCTGTAAGTACCAAATAATTCCAGTCGGTGCTTACACAAGCCTGAGGATGCTCTTTGCCCTCGTGTGACAAGGCTGGGCCAATTACTAAGAACAAGCACTGCCATATGAGAGGGAGGAGCGAGTTGCAAGCTTTTTCATACCTAGAAATTCTGAATATAAGTTTATCTATACTTCAGTCATGCAAAATATACAGCCGTAAGTAAATAAAAATTGCAGTCCTGCAGTAGTATAAGTCGCTGATCGCCGCCATTACTAGTAAAATTTAAAAAAAAAGCCCAGTATATATACCGCCATTTGTAAACGCTATAACTTTCATGTAAACCAATTAATTTACACAGAAAATATAAACATAAGGGTGTAGCGCTGTTCCTGAAGTGGTGAAATGATGCAGCCCCCCCACTGGGAGTATATATAAATATAAATATGCAATGTTCAGTTGAATGAGTTTAAATTCCTCAAACACAAAAAGACCGTTCTGTACTACAAGACACCTTCCCCCTTCCTAAAACATAGATGAAGAATGAAAATGAATGAGGTGTTAAAGAGGATTCTCCTGAGGAATCCTATCGTCCTAGAAAGCGCCCTCCCATATTATGAGTGAACCAGGTGAGTTAGGCGGAAAACATCAAAAACATGAAAGACCTCCTCAGCTTGTCCCATGATGTGAGTTAAAGTGAAATTGAACCTCCTCCTTCCTTTACAAAGACTGTATTCCCAATATGTACCAGCTATATATGTGACCCCAAAAATATGGCCGACGGACTCTTCATCATGTGACCTTGGGGCTGTGTTGTTCCATGGTGTATAGGGAAGCAGAAGGACTATATATGGTGACCAGGAGGGTTCATATCTGGTTGCTAGTAGATTGCTTCATATGCAGGTTAGATAGGACTTCAACGTTATGGTGGCCGGAATGGTTTGCAATAGGTTGCTAGGTTACCTCTGTGTATATAAGGAAAGAGGTGAGGCAAGATGGCACCGCTCCTGATGACATCACAATGACAAAATGCATTGGGCGGGGCTAACATAGTCACTTCTGATTCCGGTTTATGGCTGTGGAATGCATGGCATGCAGATTTTAAAGGCACTTTCTTATCTATAACACTGTAAGTGTGTTTTTGGCACTTATTTCTTTTACAGTAAAAGGTTTTACACTATACAAGCTTCCTTTTCTCTTTGGCATATTCCCTTATGGTCCAGTACAAACATAAAGCTCTGGTATACATCTTCACGGTCTGGCATATGAAAGATCAGTGAGTCTGTGCTACCCAGTACACATGTAGCAGATTGGAGAGCTACTCAAACTGTTTTAGCCCCAGTGGAAACAGGGGTCTAACCTAGCGGTGAGTGCGGTGGAAAAGGGGGAGCATGTGTGGAAGCACAAGTCCTTTTTATCACTCACAGTAAGCATAAGGAACGTGTTTAATGGACTATATATACATATGTTTTTGAAATTTGATGTATGTACGGACAATTTAGTTGCACAATAATATTATATTATTATTGCTATTGCACATTGTATATTGGAATCTGCATTTTTGCACATCTAATTTTTTGGGGAGGTGTACTATAGCACCATACACTATTTGCATATGTTTTAGTTGCAGCATATCAATATATTACATTTTGCACATTGTATATTGAATATTTACATTTATGTATAGTATTAATTTTGGGGGGAGGTGTACTATATCACCGTATTCAGGTATGCCATATTAGGGGGGATTAATAACCATTTATTATCTCACAATTTTTATAAAGGAGAGTGGAGGTTCAATTTCACTTCACATCATGGGACAAATAACTCACATCATGGGACAAGCTGAGGAGGTTTATCATGTTTTGATGTTTTCCGTCTAACTCACCTGGTTCACTTATAATACGGGCGGGGCACTTTGTAGGATGATAGGATTCCTCAGGAGAATCCTCTTTAACATCTCATTCATTTTCATTCTTCATCTCGATATTTTTAGGAAGGGGAAGGTGACTTGTAGTACGGAATGGTCTTCTTGTGTTTCAGGGATTTAAACCCATTCAATTGAACATTGCATATATATATATATATATATATATATATATTCCCAGTGGGCGAGGGGGGGCTGCATCATTTCACCACTTCAAGAACAGCGCTACACCCTTATGTTTATATTTTCTTTGCACGTTCCAGTGAGAGTATGATAGGTGTTTTCAGCAGTCCTCACCGTTGCCCAGTGCCAATCCATACAACCAATTTACACATATTGGGATTTTTTTTTAGCAAAGACATGTAGCAGAATACATTTTGGCCTGAATGCATGACAAAATTAGATTTTTTAGATTTTTTTACTGGACATGTTTAATAGCAAAAATTCAAAAATATTGTTTTTGTTCTCTTTATAGCGCAAAAAATTAAAAACACACAGGCAATCAAATACCAACGAAAAAAAAAAAAGGGGGAAAAAAAAAGTATGGAAATGTAATTTGGGTGCAGCATTGCATGACCATGCAATTGTCAGTTAAAGTAATGCAGCGCAGTAACACAAAAAAATGGCCTGGTCAGGAAGGGGGGGGGGGGGGGGAGGGTAAATTCTCTGGAGGGCAAGTGGTTAAGCAATATTTCAACTTCAAACTTCATCTGAAAAATATCACAGCAAGAAAGTGGGGAACCATGTTGAGTTAAAGTGATTGTAAAGATTTAAATGTTATTTTAAAAAAAAAAGCACAAACATGTCATACTTACCTGCTCTTTGGTTTTGCACAGAGCAGCCCTGATGCTCCTCCTCTGGGGTCTGTCCCCTTCCCCCTGCCGAGTGTCCACCAAAGCAAGTGCCTTGCTATAGGGGAACTCAGGCAGGCTCACTCCCCAGCCGGCTCTGTGTGTCCTTAAGACACGTAGAGCGGGACTCAGCCCCACCTTCCTCCCTCCTCACTGGCTGTGATTGACAGTAGTGGGATCTGTGTCTGAGCCAATGAGGAGCCAGAGAGCTGAGGGAACCTCTGCTGTCGTGCACATTGCTGGATCAAGATTTGGCCCAGCTAAGTATAAGAGGGGGTTGGCGGGGGAACCTACATGCAAAAGGTTTTTTTTTATTTTAATGTAGAGAATGCATTAAGGTAAAAAAAAACCTTCTGCCTTTAGAACCACTTTACATAGACATGGAAATGGTAAGTGTATATGGATAAAATATTATATAGCTTAGCAAATATTATCTGGCAACATCTATTGTTTTTCACAATATGTAGCCTATTCTACAAAATTAATCAATGTTGTCCACAATCCAGCATTAGGTAATCAACATAGTGTGAAAAGTCTTGTTAAATACAAATTACAGCTCAGTAGAAACCTATTACAATTCTCCAAATAACTGTATACTCTTCTAATTTGACAGTTCTTAACAATCACAAGAACAGATGTAATGTCCAAACATGCCCAGTACAAATATTAGCTGCAAATACATTTATTGTATGTTCTCCAGGAATTCAAAGTTCTCTGCTGCATTATAATTAATTTCAGCTTCAAACACTCTTTAGTAATGCTATTTTTATGAAAATGACAGCTTGAAAAAAAACCCCCACAAAGTAAAATTGTACACATTTAAATAAAAAAAAGTACTCCTCCTATTACAGTTCACTATGTTTTATCTCACTTAAGGAAGTGGAGAAAATGTGACAACTTGACTTTATAAAAAAAAATCAATAGTTCCCTGCAACAAAACAGGAAACCTTGTTATTGATAAAACTTTTAAGGCTTACAAGCAGTTAGAAAATACTGGTAGTTCAAGCACTGATTCCCACGTATAGCAGTAGCTTTTTTCTTTTTATAACACTTGTAGATACTTATATACTGATATAAGTAGCCTAATATGACATACTATATAAGAACCTTGGGGATCCCAAATCTCATAAGATAATGCTCAGCTTTCCTGAGATCCCATGGAAAAGCCTATGATGTAACCACTTTTTTAGATGTGGCACACAGAAGCTGTATAACGTGAAATGTCTTTTCCCTTTTCCCAAAGAGTGATTTTTTTGACTGTTTAAAACGGCATTTTACAAAGTGGGCTCTAAAAAATAAGTGGACCCTGCATTTTGATGCAAGGTTTACTTCAGGGAAAAGAGAAGAAGCACTCAGGACTCACTAGAGGATTGTTCCAACAGTCTATTGTGAATGAAGTATTTGTTCATGCCATCATTTATTGTGAGTTATTTAAACACAGCAGTCAGGTGTTCCATCATTTAACAGCTCCAAAATATCACCTGTTAAGATTTTCTGTCACATCTTCAATTTTGTTACCTAGCCAGTCAGAATAGTGGGGTTTATTTAGTAAAGTTGGAGAGTGCAAAATCAGGCTCACTTCTGTAAAGAAACCAATCAGCATCTAACCTTAGCTTGTTCAATTAAGCTTTGGCAATAAAACCTGGAAACCAATTGGATTCTACGCAAAAGTGAGCCTGTGGACATGGTATACTTGGATTTTGCAAAAGTGTTTGACACAGTTCCCCACAC